TACTTTAACCTTCAATTTCTTCAAATACTAATATGTAATCAGTAAATGGGTAGCACGCAGAATTCCGAAACCTCGAAAAAAAATGCACGCTGAACGAACACGTGACTAAAGAGAGAATGAAAATCAAGCCTTTAATTCTAATCTTACACGCAAGTTACTTTTACTTTAATAAGAAGAAAGAATGGCGAAAATAATAAACAAAAAACAAAGCAAAAATAAACAAAAAAAAAACTATGGGAATCAAACCCAGCCTTCGGGGGGGGGGGGGGAATCTACAGGTTATGGAAATAAAAAGTGATCGAGTAGTGGACAGGGAAAAAAAATATGCTTAGAAATGATGATAGTGATGTTGTTAGTGATGTCGTAAATACGATTGAGGGCTCTGATAATGGCATTACGCAAGATACCATCGACAAATCATCTGAAAACGGTGACGACATTAACAGTGAGAACACCGATGGAGATATGCAGGAAACGGACGAACAGTGGGACGCTACTCAGAAAATGATATCAGGTACGGATTACACGTATAATATAAATATGAGGAGAGCGCGTAGGCTCAGTGTAAATAAACAAGATGCAGCACAGATATGTAATGCTGTGCAAGAAATTTGCAGACTAAAGAGCCTAATCAAACATAAAGTTGACCATTCAGCCAATCATAGGGTATGATGGGGGACAAGAAAATAGTTACATTTCTCTCATGGAATATACGTGGTGTCAACCGTAGAATCAATGACTTGCTCTACTACATTCATAACAATAATGTTGACGTTATCTGTCTACAAGAGCCCTTCACATCAGCCACAAAAATAAAAACCGCTCCTAGAATTAGAGGGTACCACTCCTATACGAACACTGGAATGACAGGCCTCTTGACTTATGTCAGTGACACCATACCGCATAAGCTGGTGCAGAAGTCTGATGACAATACTGTGCAATATCAGCATTTACATATTCGAACAGCCTCTTGGTTTTTCTCTCTGTACAATGTATACGCAAGGTGTAGAAAGTTTCAAACTGATTCACTGCCCAGCTTTCAGAATCACGGCACAATATGCATGGGGGATTTCAATGCTAGACATTATACATTTGGAGACAGTCAATGCAATGAAAACGGCGAAGAGTTCCGAAATTTTGTGAACAATAGATCCATGACCGTATATGATACAGACAGGGAAACTCACGTGGCGGGGGGGCAGGCTAGATTATGTAATAGGAAGGGATCTTGTGCATGGAAACGTCAGCAGCATGCTTGCAACAGAGCTAATCAGTGACCACTTTGCAATAGTAACGAGATACGCTGTTGATAATAGTCTATCTGCAAAAACAAATAGGCTCAAAATTTCTATTCCTCCTTACCTTGAGCACCACTTTAAAGCACGTATTCATGACTGGTATAACGACTACACAGTAACGAGTGTTGATAAATTCTCCATGGACATGACAAAATGGTCACTGATTACTACAACACCTGGGTCTGTCCAAAGAAAACCTCAAAAAGCAACAATTCACAACGCCCAAAACAACCTAAGTGGGTCAGTGACCCTACACTATTAAGGGAACAAAAGCGAGTTCAGGAGCTTCTTGCTATGTACAAGCAGGACAATACCCGTGACAATCTTATTCAGTTTCTTAAGGCTAACAAAAATCTACGGGAATTAAAAACTCATTTCAGAAAAGAACACTTTGGACAGTTCCTACAAAGCATTAATAACAACACCTCAATGTCTGAGGTCTGGAAAAAAATCAATCGACTCTCAGGCAAACCAACACCCCGCAGTTCCATAGTCCTCTTGCACAAGCAGACATGCTCCTTAGTCAATGGGCTGGAGCGTCCAAATTGAGCTCACTTCCCACAAATATTCAGAACCACCTTAGTCATACTAAAATTGCACGTAAATTTGCCATTGAGATGGATGTTCTGAGTCCGACCCTTCAGACTTTGCTGAGATTACTGAGTGGGAACTGGACAATACACTGATCAAAGGAAAAGCGTCTGCACTAGGTGAGGATGGAATTACCTATAGTGTCCTCCGCCTTATAGCTCAGGTACCTGGTAATCCCCTTTTGTAACTGTGTAGGTTAAGTTTGTCACAAGGTATTCTGCCTGGCCTCTGGACGCGCAGTCTAATCATCCATATACCGAAACCAAACACTGATAAATACCGCCCAATTTCACTAACCTCATGTGTATGCAAAGTTCTAGAAAGGATAATTTTGAACAGACTTAGGTACAGGTTGTAAGGTAAATTATCTCACAGACTGTACGGATTTCTATCAGGACGTAGCACACAACATTGCTTTGCAGAGTACTATTCAAACTCTAATCCAGGGAAGCACACTGTTTTTCTTGACCTTAAGTCAGCTTTTGACATTGCAAACAGAGAAATTATCCTAGAACAATTAGTAAGCTTTGGCATCCGGGGTAAATTATTGAGCTGGATTAGAATGTATCTGTCGAACAGATCAGCAAGTGTCTTGTTCAGGGGTGTGAGAAGTTCCACTTCACAATCTTTTGAACTTGGGACGCCACAGGGAGGAGTTCTCAGTCCTATGTTGTTCAATGTCCTCATGTACAAGCTGGTGGCAGATATTCGACTTGGGGATGGTGAATCCATTATATGCTATGCTGATGACATATGCGTCAAAGCATCATCACAAGAGAGGATGCAAATAATTCTAGACAAACTCACAACTAGGGCTCATGAGTGTGGATTAGTCATATCCGCTGAGAAAACAATGGCTCTCAATCCATGTATCATACCCCTACCCACTTATCGCATAGGTGACCAAGAGCTTGACATGTGTCATAAATATAAATATCTCGGGGTGAACATAAATGATGCAGACCTGATCCTTTCTCTGAAAAAGAGACTCTGGGAGAGACTGAAACCGTTGAAAGTCCTTGTTGGAAGAGAACATGGCATCAATGTTAAGCTCGCTAGACTGTTTTACTTGGCTTTTATAAGATCAGTTGTAGACTACCATGCACTGCACTTGTTGCAGTGCAAGGAACCAAAAATAAATAGCTTGGAGGTAGTGCAAAATGAAGCAATGAGGATTATCCTCGGCGCCCCGAGAACAGCAAGGATAGTGAACATGAGGTCAGAACTTAACCTACCATCCATCTCTGATAGAATAATGTTCATTTCCACTATATTTGGGGTCAAAGCTCTGAGGGAACTCTCAGACTTCCAAACACAATTGCAGCACAAAATCACGCAAGCAGACGTGAATAATCACACACACGCGCGCCCTCTAATACACAAAATTTCCATGAACATTACAAAGCTCAATGTCCCAATTAGTAAAATACCACAGGGTCGATCCATTCCACCATGGAAAGAATCACAATTGATCGTGCACATTACGTGTCTATCACAAAAAAAAAAACTACTACATAACTGCGTGTTAAAACAAATTGCATTAGCAACAGTAAAGGAACACACAGAGTCTATGGGCGATGATGTATACGAGTGTTACGTTAACGGATCCGTATAGTCTGGATACAAAGCTGGCAGGTATACTCCTTACAACGGAATTCTTAATGTCTCGGGGCTCTGGAGTAGTTTTCTGTGACTCTCAGAGTGCTCTTCGGACACTAAATTCTTTCAAAGCAGGTGGCGATGCGGAAATTTTAAGTTGCATTAAGCGTAACGTAACTTGTGCAATAGAGCGCAATTTCAACATTCAATTTGTATGGCTACCATCTCATGTTGGCATAAGCAAGCACGAACACGTAGACAAACTGGCGAAGGAAGCCTGCAGCAAAGACACTGTGAACATAGATCTTGGGATGCCTCTTGCTAGGGTTGCACATATATTGAAAAGTTCTCATAAGGAAGAACTAGTAGATCTGACGAACACTCAAAGGCCTGAAAGCTGTACCATAAGGCACTACGATCAGTATAGAGATAGCAAGCCCTCCTATGGGTGGCACCGAAGTCGAACCAGACATTGTGACGTGGTTATAGCCAGAATACGTTTAGGTTACAGAATGTATTGGCAACTGCACGGTGCAAGAAGTGCAGATGAATCTAAATGTAGACTGTAACGAAGAAAACAAGCGAACGCTTGAGCATTATATATCGGAATGTCATGTGATACAGCCTTTCAGACCACCTAACATGAGGTATAGAGAACTATGTGAATATTTCATTTCATCTGACACACTGGAAAATATACTTGTATTATATCCAAAATTTACTATGTAAAGCTGCTGTAAACAAAAACAGTGTTATGTAAACACAGTGGCAAAAGCATATCAACCTTTTTTTTTGTATGATGTATGACATATTTCTATATTACCATGTACTATTACAGTAGTCACAGACTACTGTACTGTGTCAGATATATGTAAAGCTGTAATCATGATTGCCCACGCCTGAGCAGATAGCCAGGGTGGTAAATAAACTTACTTAACTTAACTTAAATCTACGGGATTTCCCATAATCCAGATCCCCTGTGGTAATCGTACAATGCGTCCTAACCAATAAACCAACCTAACCTAACCCTGTGGGATTTATACACTACGATCTACTTATTCCCTAGCCAGGGGGCTCTCCCTCTGAACCCCCAGGGTAAAACCACATACCTTTATAGAGCGAAAGGCCGAACTTTTCTTGGCTTCCGTCTATGGTCCGAATTCCTTGGTTTCTAATCATTTTTTTCGACATTTGGTGCACTTGTTGGGCTCATGTATCAGGCTGAGATAGACACTAATATCTATTGGTTCTATATATCCACTAAATGGCTTTAAAAACGACCCGGAATCGACGCAACACACCTAAAATGAGACGCTTCCCACCGGCGTTTCGGGACGAATGGCGGCGGACGGACTGTCAAATCTCCCGCTGGAAAAACGCGCTCAGGGTTACTGTGCAAAATAGTGTAAATAATTACCAAAAACACGTAAGAGAAGTATAATTAAAGTAAAAAGAATTCATTCAATGCATGAATTCGGAAAAACAGACACTGGTAATGACAAAATAATGAGTTAGGCGTCACCTTTGTTTAGGTCCTGGCAAGTTAACATGGAAGGGGACTTAGGCTCAGAGCGGTGCCATGCAAAGCCTATTTTTTTGTCATTTCCCGGTAAATATGAGGCCACTGCAGATTTAGATGTGTTGATTCCTACTCTATTTTTGATGCTCTACAAGATGGTAATGTCCATTTTGCTCTATCTCCGCTCTCGGTAACATTAACCCTGGGGGCTTCCGTTGGGTTTTCTTTTATTCCATTGACTACTTTTAAGTGTCATTCCATTATCTGCTGTTAACTAATATTAATTATTATTATTATTAGGCTGGCTATAAGTGGATAGGATGCATAATATGTAAGCCACTTGAACTGGAATTATTACTCTTGGGGATGCAACACTTTTAGTAAATTTTACCTGTGAGACAAACTATATTAAGTGGTATGTATATTATAATGTCTTAATGTTAGAATTTACTCTTTTTTTTAAGAAGGATTAGTGGCAGGATTTACTCTTATTTTTAAAGAAGGATGAGTGGCAGCTGTTCTTGAAAATTAACCCTATGATCAGCAGTAGAAAGTTTACAATATTGGAGTTTTTTTTCCAAGAGTGTGGTTTGCCGGGCTGGAAGTATTCTTAGAATTAAAGTCAGCATAGGCTAGGAGTAGATAAAGGAAAATATGAATACTTGGGGAAAATGATGTTAAAAGTAAGGAATCTCTTAGATCTTTTAGGTGCTGTGGGAAACGAGCCGAGATGCTGGGAGCTAACAAATTAAATAGGTTTCGATTGTGACATGCCTGTGTATGTATGCAGGGTCATGATGGAGGGGATTGCTAAGCTTAACCCATTGCCGCCGGGGATGGCATGTACGTACATGCCATGCCCACTGTGAGTCGAATTGTTTGATTGTTTTTACACATAGATGGCTACACTTGTACTAAGTATCCAATGAGCCAATTACGAGTACTGCCTATCTCACCCGTTCACCCTTTTCATCGATTTACGAAAATATTTAACGTTATCCTAATTTGCTGTTAAAAATAACACCATCTATATTTATAGCACTAGTAAGAATATGTTTTTTCCCGCCAGTTCAAGGGAAGGTGAAATCAGGACTAACATCTATGTACAGAGATATTTCACAAAAATATAAAAAATGAGTACAGCATTTTCCCCATTTTTTATTCATTTTCCCCGGCGGCAATGGGTTAATCAGAATTATTTTTTTCATGTAATTATTATAGTTACTGAAGGCCAACCTGAGAGTGTTAATTCATTCATACCATTCAATTTTCTGTCTTTGCAGAAGGACCAAACATTCAGAGCTTGTGGTGACCGGCGACTAAGCATTCATAGTTGGGAAATTATGTAAATGCCCAGTTTTAGAAGATAGTTCAGGTATGAAGTACTTTACAAAGCATTTTTTCTCTGTCTTTTGACTCAGTATTGTCTCATTTATTTCTTGCTTATTGGCTTATACTTGAGATGTAAGGTAATTACAAATTGCTAGAAGAAAGTTCAGGGAAAAAGTATTTCATTGTATATGTCCTTTGCAACTAATACTTAATGAATAAGCTCAAGACCTGGCATTAGTTATTATGATTAGCATATTATTATATGCTAAGTGAACATTTTAAAAATTACTTATATGCATTATAATAGGAAGCTTAATGAATAGAAGATAGCCATACAACAAATATATCTTTGGATATTGAATATGATTTTTATTTTCTTTTTTTTAACCATGCCTATTTTCAGAGCAGAAGACCCAAGATGGGAGCCATTCATGGGAAAGGACGCTTTAAATGCCAAGGATGTCAGAAACCATTTTCTTGGCGGTTAGATCTGGCGGAACATAGCAAGACCTGTAAAGGCAGCAGCTCGAGGTATGTGAGTGGTTCTGCTTTCTCTTGATTTTAAATTGCAGTTTTCTTTGTCAAAAAATTGTGTTTCTTGATTTAATCTATTTAGAATTAAGATATGGTACATAGAAATTCCAATAAGTTGAATAATTGTAAAAAGTGACTAATGGTTCTTTTTTGAGATATGCTATTAACCCAATTACGAGTACTGCCTGTCTCGCCCGTTCACCCTTTTCTTTATTTTTTGAAGATATTTTGCTATTACTAATGTTTATAACATTATAGTAATTATAATGTTTATAATAAAAATAACACCATCGATATTCATAGCACTAGTAAAAAATACATTTTCCCACCAATTCAAGGAAAGGTGAAAACAGGTAGTGACATTAGACATTTAGAAAAATATATATACAAAATGAGCACAGCATTTTCCCCATTTTTTATTCATTTTCCCCGGCGGCAAGGGGTTGTAATATCCTACCCAAAGAATGCCTGACACAATTTAGTTCACTCTTAAAGCAGGAAGGCATGGGAGGCTCAGGCTGAACAGTTTCTGCTCGAGACGTGTTTCCTCTGCGGCTGCCAGCTGTCGGGGATTCAGTCGGAGGAGGCTTCCTTCATCAGGGGAAAACAAAAGCTCTACCATTCCAAAAAGTCTTTGATTGAGGTAAGAATATCAGAATTCTAGTTATGTTTATGAAGATCAGCATTAAAGCTTTACTATTCAAAAAAGCATTTGATTGAGGTATGAATATCAGAATTCTTGCAATATTCAGCATGATAAGAGGCTAATGCAAGGGATAAATTCTTTTTAGCATCTAATCTGTATGGAAAACATGTTTTATTTTTGTTTATAGATAAATGTATTTAAATATATATTTGAACTTTTATAAGTGGTATGGAAAAATATTTTTTGCCTTTATGAATAGTAAGTGATATATTTTTAGTGTTTATAAATAGGGATGAATATATTTTTAGCTTTCGTAAATGATATGTGAATATATTTCTAGCCTTTATGAACGAGTGAGTAAATATGTTTTTCACTTTAAAAGTAGTATGCAAGACCAAATCCATTTCAGGTTCTAGAGTTGATTACCCACGATTCTGCAGTATCCTCTCTGACTCACCACACCATCGGCCTGTGCAAAATCTGCATGAACTCGGTGAATAGATGGGACGAAACTCAGCAGCAACTGCAGACCATTGCAAAGTCACTGCGTAGTTCGTACAGGTAGTATTTTGTACCATCTTGTTATAGCATTTAAAAAAAAAAAAAAAATTATTATGTATTATGGTGTTGTTTCATGCTTTTGTTTTGTTTTCTGTGAAATAGGCCAAAATTATTGTTTTATCTTGTATATAAGAAAAGGAGAAGGATGTGTATTATCATGTACATCATAGGTTTATTTAAAACTGGAAATATTAATTCAAACAAAAGTTCAATTCCCATCCAAGCTGAATAGTACAAGGGAGGACGTTCGTTAACAACAAATCATACTTTCCGCAGATCCATACAAAGGAAACCAGGAATGAAGAAGTATAGGAAGAAGAACATCTCAGAGAGAAGAGAAATAGAGGAACTGATTGATGAAGGGGAGAGTGAATGCAATGAAGAGGACGAAGGGAACGAGGAGAGCGAGAGCAAAGGTCTGACGGAACAGATAAAGCAGGAGAAGCAGACGGATTTTCCGCAGCCGGCAGAGAGATTTGACGAGTGCGAGAAGAAGGAATATGCTTGCGAGTGTGGGAAGGTGAGTTTGATGTAATTGTTTTTTGTGTAAATTGTGTAAATTGAGATAAGATTGTAAGAGCTTTTTTTTTTTTATATACATTAAGGAAGTGTTTAATTGAGGAGAAGTCATGTAATATTGATAATTATATCAGTAGCTGTATTCTGGTAAGTTGTATTTTTACCTGTGAAAGGTAAAGCATTTTCACAGATGGAATAGAGAAATAGAGATTAGAGAAAATGAATTCATATACTATACACTAGATATTTTGAAGATAATAATAATACTCTCAGTAGATTTAGCTTATTGTTTCTATAGTCATCAAATAGCAGGAAGACCCAACTGTTCGACTAAAGATCTTTCCTTACAGACTATACGTGGCCTCAATACCTTTGTTGAACATCAGCTACGGGAGGGATGCAAGACAAAAACCAGTCAGTATCCCTGCAAATATTGTGGCTTGGTGTTCTCGGAAAAGAAGCTGCTGATCGTACACAAAAAGGCCTGTGTTGAGACCTCGCTGATCAACGGTGCTCATGAGTGTGACATTTGCGGGAGACGGTATGGAGAGTTTTCATTTTTTTTTCTCTTTCTTTCAGGATTCCAAATTGAAAAATTACTGCAATTAGGTATTTTGATTTTAGTATTTTCTTTCTCTTGTCCAGTGCAGTTTTGTTTTGTGAAGAAGGCCTGTGACTTAATTTTCCTATTCCTTGAATTTCTGAAGAATATAATTTTTTGTAATGCTATTGATATTGATACTGTTAAATTAGGCATGGAAGGATTAGGTATGGTATTAGTAGGTATTAGGTATGGAAGGATTGCTTCAATATTCCTACTCATTTAGGCCTAATATCTGTTATCACATCACAGGAAAGGCTGTACTACATAATTCATTCCATTTTTGGTAATAAAGAAAAAAATTGTTTAGGATAATATTACATATAATTCTGTTATGAGCCAGTTATTAACTCAAGTCATGTGATCCATCCACTATGATTTTAGGCTGTTGATTTTTTGGAGAGAAAAGTTTTCATTTTTGTTTCTATTATTATTGTTGATAATGTTATAACAATGATGTTAATAGCAAAAGAAATATTAATGATGATAGTAATGATATGGGAAATAAAGTAAATAAAGTCTTTTTTTCTCAAAAGTTTAAGGAGGGTAGGTAGGCCCAGTAATGGATTCTTCCTTGGCGAATGAGCACATGTGAATCTGTCTAAGTCTAAATTCAATTAGCCAATGAAAGTAGAGCAGAAATTACATGCATCTGAAGCCAGTGAAGGAAGATTTAGCGGAGGTGGTGATTTTTCCAGGTTTTTGGTGCGCGGACGTGTCGAAACCCACAAAAGAAATGTTCACAGTATTGGAACGGCTGATCAGCAACTCTGCAGTTATTGTGGAAGAACGTTTGGTTCCAGCTATAACATGAAGAACCATTTAGCAAGAGAACATGGGATTGGTCAGATTGAAATGGTAAGATTGTGTTTAGAAGGTATATATTTTTTTATGTACTTGTTTGTTGATTTATGTTTAGTTACTGAAGGGTAGCTAAAGTTAACCCCTTGGTGCCGGGTGACGCCGATCGGCGTGTACACAAAGAGCTCGAAAGCTGGTGTGCAGCCGAACGAGCCGGCGGCGCGCCAAAGTGCGGCGAGCCAGTGATTCGGGCTGATGTCCCCTACTCACGCGCTCAAAGTCGGCGCGCTGCCTTTGTTTGTTTAAGCGTAGATTTTTTTTTTCCTTTTGTACACCCGGCGCCATTGGGTTAAACACCTTGCTGTTACCTCAGTTATATTTCAAATATTTGAATATTTAAATTCAGAAGTGAGTCAGGGGATACTTCTTGTACTAATGAAGGTCAAATTTTTGGTTTGGCTTTCCTGGCTACATAGGAGGGACTTGAGAAATATGTTTAGAACCCAAAGACTGCAAACCAAATTTGATGTTTATTATTTCAAGAGCTCAGTTTTTTTTTGTCTTGTATGTAGGCAGACAGTGGAGGATAAAAATTGAAAAAGTACTGCATTTCATATAAATGAGAATAGGGAAACATACAGAAGCAAGCAACCAAAACATAGAATGCAATAAAATATACATGATATGGCAATAAATCATTTAAATACATATAGTAGGAGGAAGGAGAAGCCACCCAGGCACTTTAGAAGGGCCAGGGGGATAGAAGGGCCAGTGGGATGGAAGGGCTGGGGGGAGGGAAGGGCTGGGGGGAGAGAAAGGCCAGTGGGACAGAAGGAGATGTACTGATACAAAAGAAGAGAGGTAATTTTGTGGTTTTGAGGCAGGAAGAAAGCTGCCCAGATATAGTGAAGTTAGGGTGGGAAAGCAGCCTCTCAGGTTATATGAGGTTATGCTCTGTTAAGGTAATTTAGGGCTCCTAAATTTGAGGGAGGTTGGATTTTAGGGATTAGTTAGCTTGTGCTTTACGTATTTTTCAAAATATATATTTTTTATTTGAAATTTTGCTTAGGTTCACCAGTTATTTTTATTATAAATAAATGCCATCACTCTAATTCTTTCATGTAGAAGGCAGTTTGATGTTCTACATGAAATTATGGAAGGAAAAAGAATTACCTTTGCTCTTATGTAGTTGGGCTGATGGTGTGTAATGCCACCTATTTTTTTTGCATTTTTTGGAGAAAATTATATTTGCCCAGAACTCATTGACATTGTTTTTGCACTGTCAATAATTGTTGCTGTGAACAAAAGTTAGCTATTCCATTGTATCTCTGATATTCTTATTTTTGTGTAAATATCTTTGAATTATAAATAGGACTCATGTTCTCAACCTTTGGAAGAATTTTGTGTAATATATGATGTTACATCTCAAAGGACAAGTGAAACTGATTTTAGAAAATGAAGTTAATCAAGAAAGAGAGTAGACTGGGAGACTGGATTACTGGATTCTTTTCTTGTGCCTCTCTGAAAATTAGTTGAAAGAAAATATGAATTTGGTCTGATACAGTTTTGATGGTTTCCCTGAAAAGGACCTATCTAGCAAGGTCATGGATGGTTTATGGTATTGGCTATGAAGAGTTAGTAATTATATTCTCAGCTGAGTTCTTGTCACATCCTTCGAGGAGTTATTTCATTGCAAGAAGATATCTTTATTACACTTTCTTTGTTATCAGTGATGTCTAAAGGGATATTGTTAAATAGAAATGGGATCCCAACAGTAACTTCTACTTTCTCAATCTGGTGTATTTTCCATTTGGTTTATAATGGTAGTGTCAAGTGAAGATAGGAAACAAGAGTAACTTTTACTGGTTCTCATTTCAGTGTGGAGACCTTATGCTAAATTGGTTATCATGAGCAAATGGCTTTCAGTATTAAGATTTTTCTACAACAATTAGCAATATTTCCTTCCTGTGATTATTATCTAAGGGACTATAACAGTCATTTTATTACTATAGAAGTCAATATTTTCATTTAGTAATATGTAATTAAGGTAATGAGCATTCTATATAATTGTAAATTTAAATTATACGAGGGTATTCTTTAGATGAAGCAAAAAATTATAGGGATCCATTTTTTCTTTTCCTTTACCAGAAGAGGAATCCAGGTGTATTAAAAATATTACAATTAATCTTCCAGTTATTATGCCTGTGTTTCATTTTGTAAAGTAATATCTCCCCATATTACAGATTTATAGAATTAGTCATCAAAATAAGACTACAATTTTCATTATGATTTGCTTTTGAAAAAACCTTCACCTTAATAACCTACTCCACATGCAAGGTTGTGTGTGAACTTTGTGGCGGGAAGTTCTCCGACCGATCCAGCCTGCGCAACCACATGAAGAACATCCACGGAGAACGCAAGTACGAGTGCGAAACCTGCGGGAAGAAGTTTGCCACCCCGGGAATGCGCAACCACCACATGAACGAGATGCATAACAACACCTACAATTACGAGTGCAGCATCTGTGGCGAACAGTTCAATGTCAGCTTTAAATATAGGTTTGTGATACTTTTTGTTTGTTTGTGATTATTGTATTGCGAAAAGCATATATGTATTTTGTTTTAGATGTTTTTGAGGATGTGATGACACTTATATTTAAGTATGATTATTTCTCTTGGGTAGAAAAATTGATAAGAAAAAGTTATCATGATGGATTTATGCTTACAATTTTATCTCCATGATCAGGTATCATATGCGCAAGATGCACAACACTCTCCAGTATTCGTGTGATGATTGTGGTCGAACATTTATCATGAGGAGTGATCTGTATCGTCATGTCAGAGGCGTTCACATGGGCATACGTGACCCGAAGCGATATCCGTGCAAAGTGTGTGGGAGGCTGTTTCCCAGCATGTACAAGGTATATCCAAGGCCACGTTAATACAGTGTTAAGGTTCCTGTAACATGATAAAAAAGAAGTAGACTTGGTAGGTTAAATTTTTCTTTTGATAGAAGAAGAATAGAAGAAAGTAATAGTAGTCCACATTTAGCTTTTGTAAGTTTGTAGACTTTGTCTATATTTTCAGGGGTGGCTCCTTAAATTTTGAGTTAGTTAATTTACTGGGACCTCAGTTTTTTAACAGTTTATTATACTATATTCTGTTTTATTTTAACTGTCAACATTTATGAAAGGTGGCTGATTATACTGATTTTCTTAATACTGAGAATTCTGATATAAAGATGATTTCACACAAGTTAGCTATTCCATTAAATGATTTTCCTCAATTCCATTCTGCCACATTGACCTTCTCAAATTTAATCGAACTTAATGAATGAATTATTTATTTATTCAAGTTTTTATTTATTTATTTATTTATGTATTTATTTATGTATTTATTTATTTATTCATATAGTTATTTTTATATATATTTATTTATTTATGTATTTATGTATTTATTTATTTATTATTATTATATTTTTACAGGTCAAGAGGCACATGAGCAGTCACGGATACTTGTCCTCGAAGACCGACAAGAACATTCTGGAGCAGCACGTTCCTGAGATCGACCCAACGACCAACAGCCTGAGGGCCAGCGACTCAGCTGCGGCAACGGTGCTCGCAGATGCCGTGGCGGAGAACAACGATGGCACGAGCATTGATGTGCATCAGCTGCAAGTGCCGGAAATTTATGCGGTTAGTTTACCTTTTTTTTCTTTCTTTCTTTCTTTCTTGCTTTCTTTCTTACTTTCTTTTCTTTTTTTTTCTTTTCTTTTTACTAGGTCTTTGTCTGTTGGATGGATAGGGTTTATAATGCTGTTGTTTACCTTTTTTTTTTTTTTTTTTTTTCTTTTTCTTTTTTTATTTTACTGTGTCGAGGAATTTTTTTGTAATGAGTTTACCATAGTTGTATTTTTACGACTTTGGTAGGTATTGTTTATTATTATCTATATTGTAGCCTTTCCCTAATACTCAGGTTTTTGCATGTGCTGTACAACGTGGGGCTTATAGACGATTATGAATATTTAAGAAGTAATTTGTTTAGGTAATTATGCTTGCTAAAGGTTATCTCAGGAATTTCCTCATGTGATTTTCATTTTAAGGCTGATAGATTTTGAAGGTGGAAGAGGAGGAATTAGATTTTGAAGGTGGAAGAGGAGGAATTAGATTTTGAAGGTGGAAGAGGAGGAATTAGATTTTGAAGGTGGAAGAGGAGGAATTAGATTTTGAAGGTGGAAGAGGAGGAATTAGATTTTGATGGTATAAGATTATGAATTACTTAATGATGAACCTCCCTGCAGGCACCTCACATAACAACATTAACGCCGGAAATCTTGCAAGGAGGGCCAGACATGGTGGAGGCCGAGACGATGGTAGTTGGCTCCATGTCCAGCATCGTAGTGTCGGCATCATCCATATCAGACAGCATCACGGCTGAGCTCCAGCACCCTCTGCACGAGCACCAGCACACACGCCACGACCACCACCAGCAGGACCAGCACCAACAGCAGCCGCAAGACCAGCAGTTCCGCCGCGGGAACAATGCCGTCAACATACAGCAGTCCCTGGCGCAGACCATCATGCCCATGCACCAGATGATCGTGATCCAGGATTCCGTCAGCGTACCGGGTCATGCAGACTTTACTGTGGCACCTTCGAGTAGTCAGGTCATCTCGGCTTCTCCGGCCACCAACCAAGTCATCTCGGTGTCACAGTCTGGAGGAAATCAAGTCATTTCTGTTCCTCAGTCAGGGAGCCAGGTCATCTCCGTCCCGCAGTCGTCGAATCAGGTCATTTCTGTTCCCTCGGAGTCTGGACAGGTCATTTCCATACCTCAGTCTAGCGGACAGGTGATCACCGTGCCATCTGTGAGCAGCCAAGTCATCTCTGTTCCCTCTGTTAATTCACAGGTCATTACCGGGTCACTTCATACCTCACAGGGGGCCTTCACTCTGCCACTGACCCAGCAGTCTACGCAAATTCACAATCAGCAAAAATTAC